CCCACATTTCTGCCACAATACCATGGTGCAGTGAGTGTTACTATAGTAAAACCATGGTAAATGGCGGCGACGTGTAGATTGAAAAGCCTTCTGACTGTCTCGTTACACACAATGTTTCTCCTGTTTGGCTTTAAACTAGTTTAAATCACAGAGTCATTTGTGTTCATCGCTCTATTTGCGCTTCACACTGGATCTCACAGTGCTGTTTAGTGCTCGCGTGACCGAGTAAACGCATCTGCTCTAGTGAGCTTGCGCCGTGCGGCAGTTTGAACTGTGATCCGAGTGGATGAACGGTCCGAGTGGCGCACTTATAAATGAGTCACGCTGTTTCGTTCCACTTTTGGCGCATAAACATTATATCGAGCATTTATCGAACTTTTCATATCGTTTTATCGAGGAAAATTATATCGCGATAATTATCATCGCCCAACCCTACTAAAGCCCTATTCGCACGGGATTAGTATTACCTGGTGACCTCCAGTCATTTGTAATAATTGTGGAGGTTGCTTCTTGCACTTTGTTGCACTTTACTTTTGCTTTTAAAAAAGGATTTCATAGAAATTTGGATTTCATTTGGTTTAATAAAATAGTTTAATAAAATATTCTTAAGTAAAATTGTTTATTTTTTTTTGCGGGAAATTAATCGTCTAGATTAACCAACTAATCGATAAATTAGTCAACAGATTAATCGAAATAAAAATAGTCGTTAGCCAGATAATACTAATCCCATGCAAATAGGGCTTAAGGCAAGTGTGAGTACGAATGATCTTATATATCTAATTTAATTGTAGTGGGATCAGTTACAATAAGCCGAGCGTCTGCCTGAACTATGCTTGAGCTCCATTCATCACTCAAACTACATTTAGTTCTAACTTTAATAAAGTTTAGGCTTTCATCTAATGCCAATATTTAGTTTTATTTCAAAAACTATTTTTAATAGTTTATTTTATTTTTAATAAATTGATCCGTGTGTTTGAGGAGAAACTATTTGTTTGTCCAATGGCAAACAGCAAGAGCCTGTTTAAAACAGTATTTTTGCAATTCTGAAATTACATGTTTCACTTTTAACCTCATGAATATCTTTGTTTTATAACACATATGTAGACAAAGGGGCTTTTGGAACTGTATAATGTACCTTTTTCTCTCTAATGTGAAGTCCACCTCTCCAAATCTCCCTCCCATCCACACAGCTGTGAATCACTGATGGAGAACATAAGCGGGCATCTAGGTACAAGGCTGCTTTCTGCCACCTTTACAGCGTAGAAACAAGAAAAGCAGGGCGATTATGAATAGTAGGACTCATAAATAAAAAGGACAGGTCTATTATCTGAAGAACAGAATATTACAATAGAATATTAGATTTTACCCTGCACTGTGTTCAGTGACCATGATCATCTGTGCCGAATGCCATGCCCTCATGTGCTTCAAAGAGCCAATCACAGGCAACATATCCTTCAACCCCACCTCCTCATCCACACAGAGAACAATAACATTGAGCAAAGACTTCCCTGCAATCAAGAACAAACATCACATCAATACAAAAAAAGCATACTCATAGAGAAACAACAGTAACACTATGATAACGTCATTTGCTGTTAGCAAATGTTCTCAAATGTGTAAAACAAAATAAAGAAACCACTACTACGATTATAACTTTTTAACGCCCAAAACCTTTTAATATTATAAAATGGTACCTGGAGGAGGAAGTTTGTCTGCTAACTGATGAAGACCTTCAGCTGCCTCTTCAAATAGTCTATCATGATAGTCAATCATCATGAAAAAAAAAAACAAAGTAAATCTAAATAAATGTAAATAGGCAAGTGTCAATAATCATCTTATGAAGGACATCAACTAATCCCTGAAACATGATTAAATCTTTGGTCCTACGAAGTTCTTCGGTTTGATATATTATGGGACAACATTATCAATCTGAATCTCTCACTCTGCGTGGGACGGGTTCTCTGTGAGCGCGCTCTGTTCCTCTTGCTTCTGAAGGGCAGCGATGCAGCTGTCTAGAGCAGACAGCTCTGATTCCTCACTGTCACTGCGCTGGGAACACAGTTCCTCCCACTCTGAGCTGCACCACTGGAAATACACAGTAAAGAGTGCGTGTGTGTGGATGATCGGATGCACTATACCAGGGGTTTTCAATCTTTTAGATGTGAAAAACACATAAATATGATCATCCTCATGCAAATTACTAAAATTTAAAAGGCAACTATGTCCTTTCATATATAAAGACCAAATTTATACTAAATTAAAGGGTTATAATATGTACTATACTCATTTAAAATATTATTTAAAAAATATTTAATTTCTATTGTTAAAATATTTTTTCTACTCACTATATTACTGTAGTGTTAGATGCATATTAATTATTTTAATCTGATTTGTATTATTTATTTACATATTGTGAATCTACTGTTACTGTTTACATATTTATTTTAATCTATTTACTGAAATACAATTTATTTTAAACTAATTTTGTATTTCATATCAACTTTTTAGTTATTTTTTTTTTATATTTTATACTTATATACTTATTGTAATCTAGTTATTTATTTAATAATTTACTGGTAATATAACAAGTATTTATTTTTACAATTTTTAAACATTTTCTCTAAACTTTTCAGCAGACCCCAGTTTGAAAACAACACTGACGATACATTATCACTTTGTAACCCATGTTTGTCAGACCCAGTTTTTATCACTTGTAATCAATCTAATGTGAGAGTGAACTAAACAAAAAGCAAATATGCATATGTTAATTACCTGAGTTGTACCAAAACTGGCTTGAATGGCAAAGCACCATCTCTGTGGGGCAGGCCTACCACTCAGAGAGCAGGCTAAATGGATTTAAACAAACACAGTATCAAACTTCACACCAAAACTAATTAAAAATGGAGAGGCAAATGAGGTTACAATGAATAAACCTACCTGGAAATGGAGAAATGCGCGAAAAATTCGAATTAGAAATATTCTTGAGCTTATCAAACACTTTTTTGGATTCATCAACCCCTGCAATAAAACCAATACATGTCGAAACCGCAACAGATAGTCAAAGCAGAGCTTCTGATATAACTACTGATATATGACGGCCTCTTACCGTTGAAAGAGCACTCTTTCTTCGGCTCTAGGTTGATTATAATAACTAGCACGTATCTGTCCATAGCTGTATGCTGCCGCGTTCATGGAAAATAATGTTGACTTGTAAGAGCACCACACAGACTCCAGTACAAAACAAATTTACGCGCGTTGTCGTGACTCGTGACGATGACGCGCGCGCTACCAAAATATACAGTCGGTAGGAACATATTATAAAACACGCTTATAAATAACAGTACATGGAGATGGGGGTGAACTAAAACATAAACTGTTTAAAAAAACATATTGTTTTTAAAATTGCATCACCAAAGTAAAAAAAATCTGAGAGCATTAAAATTATAACTATTGAATATGGAACCACATTTTCATTCTGTTGGTCGGGGGGAAGTAAATTGCTGCTGTACCACTACAGCCACATTGAGGTCAAATTTTTCAAATGCTTATTTAAAATGTCTAGTTTTTCGAGATCAGCCCAGGTAAGTTGTTTATTATGACTTACTGGTCCAATGTCATTTATTAAGATACTCACGTACGCCGTCAGCCAGTGCTTCTTGTTTGGAAAGCGCGATCTTTCTATTGAGTTTGTGCGCTAACAAGCTTACGGTCAAATAACAGCGATACCTGTGTATAAAATCTGCACTTATGTGCAGGAATCTATTTGAATAGCTTTAGAAATGACATCTCTACAGTGTAACAGTTAGCGTATATACCAGCATTGCTGAAAATCAGTGAATGTAGATGAGGGTGGTACGTTAAATGTGTACTTATGCATTCATTTACAAGTGACGGGTAAAGAGGACAGTTCACCCAAAAATGAAAAATGAATCCGTATGATTTTATTTATTCTGTGGAGCACAAAAGAAGACGATATTATGGACGCCTCAGTCACCATCCACTTTCACTGCATCTTGTTTACTTGCATGAAAGTGAACGGTGACTGATCTGTCATCTGCTTAAAATCATCCACGGGCGATAAAATGCCTTACAGCTTAGTAACGTCATTTAATTTTACGTGAACTGTTTTTATTAGTTATTGTGAAATAATTATGTCCAGTCATTGAAAAAGTCAAGCTTGCATTGCATAAATAGCTTTTTTTTATTTTCTTCCCATAAGCAATGGGCGACCTTTGCAAGATCCTGGTTCCTAATAGACGCTAGGATGCAGCCTCCAGGAAAGATCGCCTCTGTGTGCTCAGTGCGGCTTCAAGGGAAACATAAACCCATTTACCATCCACTGAGTGAGTAAATGTGTTTACTAAACCAAACGAAGACCTTTTTATTCATTTCCCACCTCATGTAGAGCATGACAGTGATTCATATGAACCTACTGGGAATGTGTAGAAGCCGAATGGCCACAAGATGGAAGTAAACGACCACTGTTTAAAATATTAACAGCGCTGTTCTATGTAACCAAAGCATGTAAAGTCCATTGTATTTACCTATGAAAAAAAAAATATTTAAACAATTTTATTTTATTTGACATTTATTTAAACTATGCCATTTCTGGATATTGTAAATGGGATATTGCACATTATATTTTGTGTTTATGTTAAGGATTTCTGTCTTAAAAGGCTCAGAACAACTGTGATGATAATTTATGTAACATATTCGATCTAACATGAAAGGCTGAATCTTTAATCAGAATGTTTAAAATTGTATGAGTAACCATGTTGCAAAATTATTTTCCGAAGCTGTGATCTGGATTTATTCTTATAAATTCATGAGAGGAATTACAGTTCTTCCCTTGATCTGAATGTCAAAAGCTGCTAGTGTGGCAGCTAATTCCAGAGAGATGTAAAGGGTCGTGACTTCTGACTCTGACAGGCTCTGGAATTGATACATTAGTGTGGAGCTGCACGCTGTACGTGTCTGCAGCTCACTCCCAGACCCTGCTGATGGTGCTTCCTTCTCGAGACATGCTGGGAGTTTTTAATGAAACTCTCACTGTCTGATAGATGAATGAGCATAACAGGCCAAGAGATGAACATTCCCAAGCTGTGCAGTCATTCTGCCAGACAGCAAAGTCAGAGGAAGGAGGGGCTGTGTTTTCATTTACTGGGTTTGAAGGAATTTATATTTTTGGCAAGGATTTTTCATTTGTTCGGTTAGACCAGTGTGTAAATGTTCAACTGTAATTCAGTGCTATATTACGTTCATCTAGCCCTTGTTTTTCGCCTCATCTTTAATAACATTGATGTGAACAATTCCTAGAAATTGTTCAAGGAAACGGTCATTAAAAATGCAGAATAAAGAAATGAATTAAGAGCAGTGGATGTTTAATTATTGACTGTCAACTGTATTATAATATTATTAATTACAAAATATATTATTATATGGATCTTGGAGGTGAAGATGCTGGATGTGGAGGTCCTGGGCTGGTGTGGTTACACGTGGTCTGCGGTTGTGAGGCCGGTTGGATGTACTGCCAAATTCTCTGAAACGCCTTTGGAGATGGCTTATGGTAGAGAAATGAACATTCAATTCATGGGCAACAGCTCTGTTGGACATTTCTGCAGTCAGCATGCCAATTGCACGCTCCCTCAAAACTTGCGACATCTGTGGCATTGTGCTGTGTGATAAAACTGCACATTTTAGAGTGTCCTCTATTGTGGCCAGCCTAAGGCACACCTGTGCAATAATCATGCTGTCTAATCAGCATCTTGATATGCCACACCTGTGAGGTGGATGGATTATCTCGGCAAAGGAGAAGTGCTCACTGACACAGATTTAGACAGATTTGTGAACAGTATTTGAGAGAAATAGGCCTTTTGTGTACATAGAAAAAGTCTTAGATCTTTGAGTTCAGCTCATGAAAAATGGGGGCAAAAACAAAAGTGTTGCATTTATAGTTTTGTTCAGTGTATATATATATCATTAGAAATCTGTTAAAGATGATGATGATGATGATTATTAATATTTCCAAGTAACCGTTCAAGAAAACAGTCATAAAAATGCAGAATTAAAATTAAATGTATTATGTATTAAATATATTTTTTCTATTTATTTTTTTTTAAACATGTTAAATTGTTAATTGACCGATTCCTATAAAAAAAAAAATTTGTGTTTTCTCTTTATAATGACGGGTGGTCTAATAAAATTAAGCACAGTGCTTAACAAATTTATGAGACTTTATTTATTGACTGTAATTGGGTATCTGAATAAAAAAAAATTATAATAAAGTGCTTTACTATTTTTCTGCCTTTCTTGTAAAACAGTAAATTCAAACAAATTAATGGATAACAACAATAATTGTATTTTAGCATTAGAGTACTGGTTCTTTGTCAAGTCAAAACTAATACGATATACTAATAAATGTACATAAACAAATTAATTTATCTATCTATCTATATATATAGTGCCATAGCTTCCCTAAACTAACAGTAACACTACTGTGACTAAAGAGCTTACACATACTGGTGGATTAATCATTACAGAAACACAAAAAATAATTTTGATAATCACCAATACTGTTAGTTTAGGGCAGCTATGGCACAGACTTTACATTGGGTGGTGGTGGTCTAATAAATTTGATAGATAGATAGATAGATAGATAGATAGATAGATAGATAGATAGATAGATAGAATGAATGAATGAATGAATGAATGAATGATAGATAGATAGATAGATAGATAGATAGATAGACAGAACAATGCAACGGTAGATGGATAGATAGATAGATCATTTGATTTATGTACATTTATTAGTATATAGTATTAGTTTTGACTTGACAAAGAACCAGTACTTTTGACACCAATAAATTCCACTGTTGTAAAGCGCAATGTTTCCTCAGCAGGGGCTAATGTCAAGAGTTCAAGCTGAATGTGCAAATTTATCATGTACATATATACATGTCTTGTTCCCAGGTGATATTGGAGATCATGTGGTGGTCATGAACACCAGACACATCGCCTTCTCTGGAAATAAATGGGAACAGAAAGTGTATTCGTCTCACACTGGGTAAACAGAGCTCTCTCCTTCCACATTCTAGCTCAATTTAGGACAGTGAACATGCTTTTTATAATCTTTCATTAATGCCCTGCTCTTAGCTGTGTTTTCTTTGTGCTGACAAAGAGCAAAAAATAAAAAGGAAATCTGAGATCTGAACCACATGATTTACAATTTGCAATGGTGCATGTAATAGAAACAATATGCTGCTTTCCAAAATGTTTAGAATGTGACTTATAGGTCTGATTTGAAAAACTAAAGATCTACTTTTTCATCCCACAGCTACCCTGGATCATTCAAACAGCTCACCGCAGCGCAAATGCACAAAAAGGACCCAACAGCTGTGAGTATCCTTCTGTACATTTGGCTTTTGAACCGGGCATTTCTCTGTGACAAATTCAATTTTGCAGTGATTTCTACAATAACAATTTCCCCAACGTCAATCACAACCCTGCCACTGGTACAGACCTGTTCATAATTTGAGTCAAATTGCCTTGCACCTTGGATGGAGGTGAAAATTGACTTCATTTATTCATTTATGTAAATGATGCCAAATGTTTTTTAATAATTTCAGATAGTGGAAGTTGCAGAGCAAAATATTCCCTCGCAATCAGCATGACACACATTTGAATAATAAATGCAGCGCACACCCAATATTGCCCAGTTCTCCATCATTCTTTCAGTTCTTATCTGTCCTACTATTTTCCCAGTCTGTCCTTCACCGAAAAAAAGAATTGTTTTCTCTCTCAATGTCAGAAAGATTTTAAAGTGTTCTTTCAAGGCTCAAACACCTCAACATGATTAAAACAGCAGTCTTTCATAGCCTGTCTGCTTCCAGTATACAGCCCTACAAGTGTCACCTGCTGCTGACGCACCTGGATTGAAAAACACCTTCTCTTCTCTCGCTCAGCCTGCGCTGTGAATCACACCTTCGTGTTTTTGGAGAATAACAAATACCAGGCAGCTCAGATAATAGAAACAGCTTTGAGTCTTTCTCATTATATTTTTGCGTTGGATTAGGATGGCACTCGATGAAGCGGAAGTGCTCTAGATATGGAATATATTAGAGGAAGAATTATTATTTTTATTTTTTTTATGATGATGATATTCCAAGTCAGAGCTGTGGCACAGTGGTTATGGCATGTTTCTGACACATGCAGGTGATAAAAGTTCAAGTCTGGCTTGTGGTTGTGTCATATTCCACTATATTAGTTTATTTAGAAAGGAAAGCCTGACAGTAATATACAAATATTTTTCACCACTGTAATGTGGAAAATGCATCCATGCTTATTTGTACCCAATACATTTCTTAAAGATATAGTTCACCCCAAAATGTAAATTCTGTCATCATTTACTCACCCTCAAGTTGTTCCAAACCTGTATGAGTTTCTTTTTTCTATTGAGCACAAAAGATGTTTTGAAGAATGTGTGTAACCAAACAGTTGACTGTAACCATTGACTTCCATAGTATGAAAAAAAATACTATAAAAGGTCAGTGGCTAACGTTACTGTCCACTGTTTGGTTACACAGCTTCTTTAAAACATCTTTTGTGCTCAGTAGGGATGTAACGATTAACCGCGAGCCGGTTGAACATCGATTTAAATAGGTGACGATTCAAATCGGTTGAGATGCTAAACAAATCGCGATTCAGTTAGGGGTAAGAGTTTATATGAATGTATGTCTGAGGGGAACTTACTGTCTTTTGATGGTATTTTTTCTTTTCCTCTTGCCTCTGTATAATGCATATTAAAGTTCATAAGTGGAGCACTGCTTTGTTTACAGCGGAAACCAAGGAAACGTTTAAGCGCCACCTGCTGGCAGAGAGTGCATCTGCGTCTCATTCAGCTCGTCTGCTGTTTCTGTTTCATGCAGTTTTGTTATTTACATTTACATTATATTTAAATTTTGTTATTTAGCAAACGCTTTTATCCAAAGCGACTAACAAATGAGGACAATAGAAGCAATCAAAACCAACAAAAGAGCAATAATTTACAAGTGCTATATATATATATATATATATAATATATATAATATATAGTGTTATATTTCAATTTCACAAAGAAACGTACAGTATTTTGTCCAAACAATAATAAAAGGACACATTTAATTTATAATTTGTCTTAAATCTCATTTTGTTTAAAAAGAATCGTGAATCGAATCGAATCATGAGTTGAGTGAATCGTTACATCCCTAGTGCTCAACAAAACAAAGAAACTCGTACAGGTTTGGTACAACTTGAGGGTGAGTAAATTATGACATAATTTTCATTTTTCAACTATCCCTTTAAATTGGACCACATTAGGGCTTTTCACACTGCAATTAACCCTGTGTTATCACCGTTCAAAACCCAGGGTGAAGTGGGATTAAAACTACTTTTTACCTGGTGTTATGAAACCCTGGCACAGAAAGAAAAAATTATAAACAGTGTGTAAATTATAATTATAAACAGAAGAAACTGTTTAACTCTTACCTTTTACAGTCAGAAATGTCCATTCTGGAACTCTTGGTTGTAAAGTCGGCAATATACAATATGAGGATACACAATGCTAGTAAACTGGTTAAAATAAACAAGTTGCGTGCTGCATTTGTCCGATCAGTGACACTGACACCACAAATAATGAAACACGTTAACTCAGGGTTTAGGAATGTACAGTGTGAAACATCAGCGTATGATTAACGAGGATAAATTGTTAACCCAGGGTAAATTTTGAGCAGTGTGAAAGATGAAGCAAGATCAACCACGACTCTGTTAACTAGGGTTAACTAGTTCTAGTGTTTCTTTCTTTGTTCCACTTCATTTATAGGGAGATGCAGAGTGTGTGCGTATCCCATCTCTGTCTGCTGTTGTTCACCTCCTTAAAGTAACCTTGACCATTACGTACCACAGTGACAGTCACAGCCCATCCATAGTCAAGGCACGCAAGCTGAAAACCCATTCAGGGTCAGCTTCTGTGGGATGCAACTGAAGAAGTATAGTTCTGTGTAGGTGTTGTGCCGTGGCGCAGAAAAAGCCAACTCAAATTCAACCTGTGCCACTCTCCAGCATGCTGCTCATTCTCTGTCATTAACAAGATGAATGCTCGACTTGGGCTGAGTTACTCCAGTCGAGGGGGGAATGTATCGGGGATAATTGTGGATAATGATCAGAGGAAGGTGACGGAGTTGTGAAGAGCGATCACGCCCTCAGACAGCTTTCATCCATCAAACATCTACCAGTCAGAGGAGAGGGGGAAAAAAACCCTGATTAATGTCCTGATGAAAGAATGATGGGGATGTTGTGGATGGTTGGATGACGGGTTAAAAATTTACACGTGTATTCATGTGCCGTGGCATAAGCAAAGGAAATGATATTTAAATTATTTAAATTATTTAAATTGTTACCAGTGGAGTGATCACATTTGCTTAGTATATATTTGAATTTTTAAATTTCACAGGGGAATGATTGGCTTTTACTTTTTGGCGGTGTAGAAATAACACATCACAGACACATTATCCACCCTTTTTATTCCAATGTAAATAATAATAATAAAACCATAAAAATAACATTATTAATGTTAAATTCATGTTATGTTTTTTTTATTATAAATTAATTGTAATAATTGTAACAATTGTAAAAATCGTAATATTTTACAATTTTAAATTTTTTTTTTGCTATAATTCAATATGTCTTAGAATTAGAATTAGGCCATTAGAATTTTCACCACCACCACCAAAAAAAAAAAAAAGGTTTTAAGCCAGTTAAACAAAAATCCTTGCGCAAACAAAAATCTCACTGGATTATTAAAATGAATGGCAAAAGGAATGTTTGGAAATGCAAACGGATATTTCCTACTGACACACTACAGCAAAATATAGAAAATATATAGACTTAAAAACTTTTTTTTTGTTGGTGAAAATACTAATGGCCTAAGACTTTTGTACGGTAATGTGTGCGTGTGTTTTGTTTATTTGTTTAGAATTTATTTATTTTGAGAACAAAAAAGCAGAAATCGCCAAGTTTCCTTTAGAGAGACACTGACTGAATTTGTGGCCAAATCTCTGGCCTGTTTTCTTTAACTCCACAGATCATTAAACTGGCTGTGTACGGGATGCTTCCAAAAAACCTCACCAGAAGGACCATGATGCAACGGCTTCACCTCTTCCCAGATGATGTAAGCTCTCCGTTGATGCTCTGATTTATGTTCATTGATGCGCTGTCCAAAGCTTGACATGTTTGGAAAGTAGATATGTGTCAGTGTGTTTGATGAATGTGTCAGTGGAGGATGGGATGTATCAGATTAAGAAGATACATAATACAGTACTACAGCTGCAGAAATAGAGAAATTACATGATGGTAATACCCTACTGCACAATCGCATCATATTTAAACCACATTAATCCATTTGATAAGTAAATGTTGATTTTTATTTTTTTTATGTTATTATTTCATATATTTATATATTTTTAGAAATCTCTTGAAAAGCCACCTCAAGTTTGGTCACATCAGAGAAAATAGTACATTTCTAAAACCAGATGTGATGTTTTTATTTATTAATTTGCCAAAACATTGTTCTGTGATTGAGTTACAGAACCCCAGTGGCAGGTTAGACAGGATCCAGTCAGACACCGGTCTCTGATCATAGTTCTGCAGTAATGTTTTGCAATAATACAAATCACTGTGTTCCATTTCAGGTCCTTCCTGACGACATTCTGAGGAACCTGACAGAGGAGCTTCCTCAACCCAGAGAGATTCCTCGTAAGCTCAGCGAGTACACGCAGGAGGAGCGGGACGCTTTCCCCATGCTCTGGACCCCGTGAGTTTTTCTTAGCCCCTTTGTTCCTGCTCTGCCATATTTCCTCCATGCATCTGAAGAGCATGAATCAGTGTTGTGTTAGATTTAGAGCATAGCTGAGGTGTCGTCCTGTGCGGATGGTCTGCTGAGGGGAGAGAGAGGGTGACTGATGTTTAATAATCCATCTGTGAAGGCTGCTTTGCTGGTCCCCACACTGCAGACATCCAATCAGATTTATGAGAGCCACTGGCTCGGAGGCCAGCCAATCACACACTGCCTGTGAGGTCACGGAGGGAAACTTTCTTTTGCACACTAATTTTTCACAGTTGCTTAGCTACTTTTCTGATTATAAAGTGGACTGGCAGTTTATTTCTTTAGAGTAGTGTTTTCCACCTTTTTTTTAATTATTTTGTACCACCACAGCCCAATCAACAGTTAAAGTTAAAGTACAGTTAAAGTACCTCTTTATTGACACCAGTATTATTCTGGATATCTATTATAAGTAAATATTATTAAAACTTAATTATATATTCACTACCATTCAAAAGTTTGGGTTCAGTACAATTATTTACAAGAAATTAGGGCTGCACGATAAATCGCATGCGATATTTAATGCACATCTTGTCAGAAAAGTTGGTTCTGTAATCAGTGGTAAATCTCCATCACGCATGCGATTAATCGTGCAGCCCTAATTTGTAGCAATAGCCAAAAATGCATTGTATGGGTCAAAATTATAGATTTTTCTTTTATGCCAAAAATCATTAGGATATTAAGTAAAGATCATGTTCCATGAAGATATTTTGTAATTTTCTTACCGTAAATATATCAAAACTTAATTTTTGATTAGTAATATGCATTGTTAAGAACTTCATTTGGACAACTTTAGGCGATTTTCTCAGTATTTTGATTTTTTTTGCACCCTCAGATTCCAGATATTCAAATAATTGTATCTCGACCAAATATTGTCCTATACTAACAAACCATATATCAACGGAAACCTTATTTATTCAGCTTTCAGATTATGTATAAGTCTCAATTTTGAAAAATTGACACTTAAGACACTTTTGTGGTCCAGGGTCACATTTATGTTACAGAAGGTTTCTAGTTCAAATAAATGCTGTTCATTTGATTCATCAAAGAATCACATGATTTTTTTTATTTTTTCAAATTATGAAGTAGCATCGTGTTTTCAATATTGATATAAAAAAAAAAGAAATGCTAGTTGAGCACCATATCATAATATTAGAATGATTTCTGAAGGATCATGTGACATGGTTGATGGCTGCTAATACTCAGCTTTTCCATCACAGAAATAAATTACATTTTAAGATATATTATAAAACAGTTATTGTAAATTATAATAATATTTCACAATATTACCGTTTTTACTGCATTTTATGATCAAATAAATGCAGCCTTGTTGTGCATGAGTTTTCTTTCAAAAACATTAAAAAAATCTTAATGACCCCAAACTTTTGAACAGTAGTTCAAAATATATATACATTTAAATATATACACTGCCTGTCTAAGGAAAGTCTTTAAAAAAAATCGAGACCAAGTACCCTCTGCATTACATGTACAGTACACATGAAAAATGACCAGTTTTAGAGGTCATACATGCCAACCGAGATACTTTTCTGCCTTGTTTGGCAGAACACATGAGATCGTCCAAGACTTTTTATATCACTTGAGATTGTTAGCATTGCTGTGCTGCTGTAAAACGCCTCATAAACCCGTTACATCTGTGCAGATTGTCCCGCAATAAAGTTTCCCATCCTGAGTATTTCATTGGCACAGCACATCTCCCCCTGGCTCATATTACGTCTGGACTTAATAGACAAAAGCTGTGGCATAGGAGCACTTTTTTTTCTCATCCCACCAAAAAAAATAAAATAAAAAAAAAATTCTCAGCATCCCAGCTTTTTTAGTGCAGGTTTTGTATTTGTTTTCCAAATGATAACGCATTACTGATAAGGGCATTGCTCTTCCTGTGACCTTTATTGAACTTTTATGTGCATGGCACAGGTGACTGATGAATTCATTATAATCGTTATCATACAAGTGTCGTCAGATGAATCTCAAGGTATGAAATTAAATGGCTTTATAGGTGCTGCAGAAGATATTGAGATTTAGAAACTGCAGTCTCACTGCGGGAGGTAGAAAAAGATAAGAGTCAGAAGGTGTGCTGCTGTAAGGAGCTTTCAACTGTCTCGTTCAGCTCAAGGAGATTTACCCTCTCTCATATTCTGTAGATTTGATATTACTTTAGTGTTAAATCACTGAACGCTGAAAGGCAAGTGACAGTACACTCTTCCTCTGTTGGATTTAAAGGTAAGCAGTGTTACAGCATTTCAAAGGCAGGTTGTTGTGCACAGATGTACACTGGAAATGCATATGTAATTTTGCTCACTAAGGCAAGGCAGAGTGCTATTACTCTTCAAAGTGACTTAGTGACCAAGTGACTATAAAATGTTCAACTATGCATACCCTTCCTGTTAAATAACAGTCATTTAGTTCATTTGCGCACATTCTTTGATATTTCTGTAGCAGCTGTGTCTGCAGTGGTGTCTTTGGCATGAATGAAGACCTCTAACCATCAAAGCAGCTCTTTTGCCTTGGTTTGAGCAATAGCCAACCCAAAAATGCTTTTAAGAACAATATAGTACAGTAGGCTGTGGAGAACTTGAATGTGATAAATATATACGTTGCCTTTTCTTCAGAGCACTTCATGTCATTTCCAATAATATTTCTCTTGTGTCTCCACGCTCTGTGAATCAGTACTCAAAACCGTATTAGAAGATGTATTTTTCTTAATAATGAATAAAGTCTTCATGCTAAAATCAAGCTCATGATTTATAGGAAAGGGAATCATAAACTATTGAATTAATTTTGGTTCTGATTCAGGGTAACAATCTTGGTTCCTTTGTAGTTCTGTTAATGATTCTATTAGTACTTTTAAGGAATAAATATTTGAAAAAGGTGTTTACACAGATATTTAATGACTTTTCAGAGTCTTTTTAACGGTGGCAGTAGGTCTTAACTATTCACTAAAAAGAAATCAATCTCATAAGAAACAGTTACTCTAGTTCCTTTATTCACTTTTGATTCATTTAAAAGTATTGACTCAGTAAGAAAAGTATTGTTCAGAAATTGCAATACAGTAGTTGTTTTATGTGCTTTTTGTTCACTTTATTGACCCAACTAATAAGAATCAATCATTCAGAAATCAGACTTGATCTGCTTTATCTGATTTTGTTTCACTAAAAAGAACCAACTCAATCACTGATAATCGGACTGCTCTGTTGCGCTGTAATTTCAGTAGCAGTGTTCCAGTGTTCCAAATTTCAGTTTGGTGTTTTCTAGTTGATCCTGCTCCAGTCCTGAGGTTCTACATCAAAAGTACATGTGGTCGTTCTTTGTGTGTCGGTTAGTGTGGGGTCGCTGTGTGGCGCCCAGAGTTCATATTCTTCTCAAACAAACACTGAGGCAACCAACTGTGTCTCTTTATGCCTATATGGCTGCTTCTGTTTGTTGTCTCCATTGTATTATTTCACACAAGCCGATTCCTCTTGAGGAAGCGTGTAATTAAAACATATCGGCGGGAAGAAGACGACAATGTGATAATGAGACGGGCAGATTTCCTGTAATTAAACTGGAGTAAATTAACGTGATGTTTGTTTGGTAGCATCTGATTGGCTGATAAGTTGGTGAGTCAAAACATCTTTTTCCTCAACAGTCTGACCACAGCTGTTGTAGATATGAAATTAAAAAGATTGTAAATTTGACTTGCTTCAGCATTTATAGGGCATTAACTGGCTGGCAGTTTGATGTGTCCCTAGGCTCGAAGATTTTCAGAGGCATTGCTTTACTTAATGTGGCTGAACCACAGCTCTTCCCTTCTGTGCCAAGAGATCTGAGAGTTTAACCTTATTTCACCCCTCATGCATCTATGTCTCTCTCTCTGCATACACTGTTCCTTATGATTAAAGAGCAATATGCAAATGTTAAAAAAATTAAATCATGTCATTTACATATGTCAGAATTAAATGCACGGCTCCCAAAATGCTGACCATGACTCAGCCATTTGATTTAAGGGTCATGATGTGGTTATTATTTTAAGTGCTTGTAAATGCCGTTCACACCAATAATGACAACTATAAAGATAGCTATATTAGCGTTTATCATACATGTGCACTGCAGTTATCTCGTCTTGCGCTTTATATGCTTGAGCTCTTTAAAGCAGGATGGATTGTGATTGGCTTCTGATTGTTGTGGACTTCCCTGCTCTCATAGAATGTGCTTACACTCTATCAAATAAAGTATACTAGTATGAAAGGCTATGCATTCAGCTGTACACATACAGTAAGCGTACACATAAAACAATATACTTTGGTCTTGATGACAAAGAAGCCAGTGTCTTGATACACATTTTTCAAATTTGAACTTTCTACTCGACACAAGCATCTTAAAATATGGCCCTGGTGTGCAAAACATGGCATAATTTAACTATTTAAAAGCATTGATTACTGTGTGCAACATTGGCCCTCCATTTACACAGAACTAAAGTCTTAACTAGTCATTACCTAAAACGTTAAACTTGATTCTTTTGCTGCCTTGTAAGTACCAGTATTTCCTTCAGGAAATGTAAATCCACTTGTTTTCATTCTCTTGTAATAGAGTTGCTCCAATGAGAAACTTGGCTCCCAGCATGCAATTGGCTTCTTATTCTATAGAACTCGGTCAACAGTGAGACGTTGTCTGAAAATAATGAAAGCTTCCATTATTGTTGCACTCTCGGAAATGATTTAACTGCTGAATTGGTAGGTGGCATGGTAATGGCTAGTTTACATTAATTACAAGGACTTTCAATCTAACGCGATACAACAAGTTCAGCATGAAACTGAGTTTCTAATTTATTATTGATCTCAGCTGATCTATTCAAGGTTGTGAATTCTTATATACAGTGGGTACGGAAAGTATTCAGACCCCCTTAAATTTTTCACTCTTTGTTATATTGCAGCCATTATGATTTTAGCAAATGGCTGCAATATAACAAAGAGTGAAAAATTTAAGGGGGTCTGAATACTTTCCGTACCCACTGTATGTGTGCAGCACATAACAGTCAAAAACCTGATTGGTTACTATCTTTAATCTAAAGTAGACAAAAAAATGCAGCACATTCTTAGAGACACAGAATGCCTGCAGTCATCTAAAACACCAGTAGGTGACATTTACAATGTATTTAACTCAATCAGGAGCTTCTTTGAATCCCAATCTCCAGATTTGCTGAACTGCCAGTTGTTTTACCACAGTACAGCAAAAATATGCTGTTTTGTATGTATGCCAGTGCCTCGACGGCACAAACGTGAGTCTGAGGTCTCTCAGATCTTTATGTTTCTCAGACAGTGTTTGCCATGTATTATTTAAATACCTAGAAGAGAAATCCTCTCAGGTCTGTCTCTAAATGTTGGAAATGTTTAAAGACTCTCAGACATTAGATGAATGTTACCTTATTTTTGTAGGTTAAATTTTAATTACATTTATAGGGCTTCACGTAATTTATTCTTTTCACTTCATGTGATTCATGTAATACTGAACTGATAGTGTCATGAAAGGATGCGTTTATTAACTCTTTTACTTTACTTTGTCATTTAGCAGACGCTTTTATCCAAAGCGACTTACAAATAAGAAAAAGCAATTAAAACTAAAAGCAAAAACTCTATAAATATTATATATATACCCATTTAAGAAAATAAAAGAAATTAAATAAAAATGACAAATGCATATAACAACATTTCAAAACTAAACATTTAAATGAAAACAAAAAATAAAGCTAAAAACACTTCAAAATATTAAAAGAACAAAAGGTATGAGTATAATAATGATTCTAACATAACACTAAGCCAAACACCAAAAAACAACTACATAACAAGTAGTAGGAAAGAGGAGAAATAAAAAGCGATACTTATTAACTCATCTTGGCTTATTTTTTTATTTTATTTTAAATGTTTTAATTCAATAAGGACTTACATACGTGAGTTTAGGGACATTCATTTGACATTATTTCTTATATTTTAAGAACATATTCTTTAATTTTAGGATTTACTTCATTTTAATTAACTTTTTGTAATGAATTTTAATGTAGCGTTTCATTTTTAAATACAATTCTCAGTAAAATGTCTTGTAATCACTTATGTAGGTGGGTGTAGGGACATGAACGTGGCAAATAATCATGTTAACACAAACTTTTAACATCACGTTAAAACTGAAGGCTGGCAGGCTAATAGAGTCTGAAAGTACCAGACGGTACCTATTTATAAAATATCTGAAGTTATATATATATAGCCTAAATTCACAGACATGATTCTTTTTTTTTTTTCCATTATGATTCAAACTGCGAAATGCCCTTCAGTGTTGGACATGGTAATATCAGCAGTGATCAGATGCCATCCCGATGCAACACTTGTGATGGTGACAAGGTGACACTGTTGCCATGGTGATGGATGTGTCTCTGGGTGAGACCCTTAATGTGGGTCAGTGTCATTACTCTGCGAGCCCCTGACCCCGCAGTCCCTCTTTGGGTCCATCTCTGACTGGACAGTGACAGGGTGTTGAATTTTTAACCTTGAGATGAAATTTCCTCAGTACCAGATGGCATACCTACGTGTGACGTCACGGATACACTACTGTTCAAAGGTTTGGGGGTCGGTAAGATTTTTTTCAGTGTTTTTGGATGAAGTCTCTTATATGCTCTTCTAAGCTGCGGTTATTTGATCAAAAGCACAGTCAAATTTGTAATAGTGTGAAATATTATTGCAAATGAACATAACTGCTTTCTATGTTAATGCATTTTAAAATGTAATTAATTCCTGATGGCAAAGCTGAAATTTCAGCATCAATACTTTTTTTACTTTAGTTTTCAGTGTCACATGGTTCTTCAGAAATCATTCGAATATGCCGATTTGCTGCTGAAGAAACATTTCTTATTATTGTCAGTGTTCAAAACAGTTGTGCTGCTTAAAACTTCAATTTAATGTGTCCTTGTTTAAAGTATTAATTAAAAAAAAAAATTCTCACCCCAAACTTTTAATCAGTAGTGTAATTATTATTATTATTTTTTAATAAAAAATATATATATATTTTTTTTTTTAGTTTCTAAACCACTAACAATAACACTGAAGTTTTAATTGTCATATCAATTAGAGGAAGCACTATGGGATGTCATGTCAAATTATGCAGTGTCTCTCTGCTGACATTCTGAAATTGCTCCTACATCAAGTGAGCACAATATTCTTATCTTTTATGCATACATTAAGGTTATAGTAATCTAAGTGGGAGAACTTTTAATTACAATTTAATATTGGTGGAAACAAATCACTATATTCAGTGATTAATTTTTTTTGCTTCCAGGTTCAAAGTCAGAGGAGCACCTGCACACTAAATAGCTTTACAATATTGCCTACCCTCAGTTGACTGTGATAATGTATTTGTTGACTACAATTTGTTCAAATCAGACTGGACGTTTTAAGTTCCTGTTTTGTTCCGTTGGTCATTAGCAACCATTTCAATCTTATCATGCCACAGTGTGCTTGAACATTGACTTCACTTTTCTGTCTATTGTGTGTTCACAGGCCAGAGGACTACAGGATGAAATGACCGTCATACAGCAGTTTTCCAGATTTTGCATCTCTGAACAGGAGTTTGGGACTTGGAAAGGTTTCTCTTTTTTTATATTGTTAATGTGAAATAAATTATGTCTCAAAATAATAAAAATAGTCCGTTTGTCAACTTTTGGTTATGTTTGATATTTAAGCACAAACATATAATATACCTAATATGAGATTAATTTAGTAGAGAGGTAGTCAAACAGTGTTTAGTCGTGACTGTGTGATAATAGAGCTCAGATTCTTTGGCCTTTGCTTGTCCCACAAATGGCTTTAGCAGCCTCTCTGAAGCCTGATCCAGCTGTAATTCAACTGCCGCTTCGGTCTTAATTAACTTCATATGGCTCTATAAGCCCTTTCTTGATGCTACTTTGGCCCTTTTTGAAGTCTGCTTAACTCATTGTGTTGGGATGGAAACTAAACACCCTTGTTAGTCACTGGTGCCTTTTGTGATGTTGGCACCGTCATGTTCCATTTTTATGTAAAGTTAAAATCGAGTTTGCTTGTAAAATGTGATTTTTATGAAGAAGGAACTTCAGAGTCTCTTCCATTATTTAAGCTCATTACGCCAAACATGGTTTATTAAAAAGAGAATTTGTTATTTTAAATGTAAAATTACATTTTTTAATTAATTTTGGGTGACCAATTAGCACACGGAACAGAAAACCACAAAGGCCAGACGAGACATCATCTCGAGTCATTGTAGCAGTACAGTTTTATTGGTTACAAAAACAAATAATAAAGTAAAAATAAATTACTTTGTAGATTCAAAGGTCTGGTGATGAGTCTTTCCACTGGCACCCGCTTCACATGCAGTTCCATTCGTTCTGAAAGGACGGTAGACCACAGGCCTAACTCTAACCATTGAGGTCTCTTTCACAGTGAGAAAAACCATTGGAAACGGGACCACAGAGACACAGAAGGATGCCATGCTGAGCTCTTCTTTTATAGAAAAACACTTTGGGAGCTTTCACTGCATCCCCTGCTTGACACGTCGTCTTATAAGACCATATGTAAAGGACGTTCACATAAATGTGTGATAATACAATTACGATCCAGAAAAATGTGTGGTGTTAAACGGGGTGTTCCTATGAAGTACCAGCGAAAAAAATCAGGAGATTAGGTTTGGTTCAATAATGTTTTTTTTTTTTAAGTGTGATTAAGAATTCAGCTTCTCATAAATAACTGCTAGTGATAAGAACATCAAAAGCGTCAACGGAGGTTTTTTTTTTTTCTCTCCATAAAATAACTTAATAGCCAGTTCCAGATCACTGCAAAATGCTGTAAACATCAGTGAAATTTGTAACATAGTAGATCACCAATTTGCACTTAAAAAAATACACAAACTGTACAGACAACCCCCATTATCATTTACAAAAGATATGGAATACATAATTCAAAACCACTGCACTGCAAAAAATCATTTTGTTAATCAGCATTTTTGTTGTTTTTCAGTAAAAATATCTTTCTTAAAAATTACTTGTGGAACAATATTATGTAAGACATTAGGACTTGTTTTATGAAGAATAGATATTTTATTTTTAAGTTTATTTTTCTTATAATTGGCAGGTTTTTAAGCATAAATCTAGATTCAATTTAGTGAGGTTAATGATTGAAACATGAAAAAAAAATGCAAATGGGATTACGAAAATAAATGCAATTATATGCATTTCCTTTGGGAAAAGGGGGAAAAATCTATTTCTAAAAAATGTAATTTACTATATGTTTTCTTAAAAAATGTATCATTATGATTATGACATTATTATTATTATTATTATTAGAAAATACATACTGAATTGCTTTTATAAGAATACAGAATACATTTAATTCAATACATTTTGAATTCATTCTATAAATTTTGCTTCAGGTAAATTAATTAATACTTTTTAGATATTTTTACTGGACAACCAGACAAAAAGTACTGATTGGGAAAATGATTTTATTTTTTTGTGCCGTGTTCCTTCTTTGAACTTGCTTTTCATCTCATTGGCTACATGCAGCCTCACAAAAGACAGAAAAGTCACTGGATTAATATCGGCACAGTTTCATTTTCTAATCTTCACAAACCCACCCCCCATAAGGATGCATATAGCAGGCACTTTTCGGATTTCCCTCAATCCTATCCTGCAGGATATTCTGATGAAAAGTGTTTGTGTGTGGATGCTCGGTTTGCCGGGGCTGGCCACCCGAGCTATTTGGCCTTCACTTGCACTTCCGACTCATCAACACTCCCCTCTTCGGCCGTGCTGCGGGAGAAGCGGCGTGTGCCAGCTGATCTCATCCCCACCGTGTCACCAGGGTGGGCGGGGCCAAACCTGGCGGCATGGGGGTCAGGGTAACTGGGTTGGTAGTACTGAGGAGGGTAGGCACGGTAGCCACCGTAAGGGTCCTCTTCCTCCTCATCGTTGTTGTAGTTGGTGGCAGGATCGTAGTTTTGGTAGGGGTTGGAGGGTAACTGTTGTACTATGGGAACATGGGGGAATTAGATCGGTTGCCATCTTTTGTAGTCACCACCCGTTGAGTTAGGGAGAAAAGGAAACCGCAAAGAGATAAAGGCAGAAAAGGGAGAGAGTTACTGAGATTAACTTAGTTTAGACAAAGGGATAGCGGTTTAGTTGGTTAGCATAACCCCTGCTGGTAAGTGTCGAAACTACACAATCTAGCTAAAAGAATCTCCATTGGCGGCCATTATAAATTTGGAATGAATGCTAATATTTCATTAAAGGGGTCCTATTATGCTTTTTCACTTTTTCAACTTTAGTTAGTCTGTAATGTTGCCGTTTGAGCATAAAAAAGATATGCAAAGTTACAAAGTCCACTTCAAAAGGAGATATTTTATTTAACAGAAATCACTTTTCAAAAACTACAACGAACAACTCATTTGGACTACAACGCATATTTTCCGGGATTTGTGATATCACAAATATCGATGAATGGGACGAGACCTGGTTGAGCTGCACTAGAGAAGGCAACGAGTGTTATCACTATGTCGGAGACACGCTAGCTTTTCCAAGGCAGACGAACTTAAAGTTTAAATCGCGCTCAAATTGATTTGATTTTGACGCAATATTTACACTGAAGCTGACAGGCGGCAGTGGTAAGGGGCATGACATTTCCCGACCAGGCACCGAGTGCTGCCAATCACAACACACACTGGCCCAGCTAACCAATCACAGTACATTTCGTATTTCAGAAGGCGGGCTCTCATTTGATACAGGAATTATTCGAGCCGTTCATGCCAGACTGGGGAGAGAGGTGTTGTAATAATGTAAAATATGTGAAAAATAATGTGTTTTTCGAACAACCTAGTATGAGAGCATGTTCTAGTACACCCCCAAAACAAAATCAAGACTTTGTAAAAGAGCATAATAGGACCCCTTTAAAAAGCTAGTGACTGATTTATTATGCCAGACAGCATAATTGTGCTGCTCTAGAGTGATTAGTCACATGGTATTTATGGATCAAAAATCAAATCTGGCTGCAGAATTGAGCACCCATGAGCAAAGATGGCAGATTTCAAATCACACACTTTCAGGGGTCATGCGCCAGCCAAGCAGCTGACATTAAGACGAACAGGAATGGTAAGGATGGCTTTCTCCAGTTATTATAGTTTGATTTAGATGTGAACTCTTAAAAATAAAGGTTCTTTATTGGCATCAATGTTTCCATGAAGAACCTTTAACATCCATGGAACCGTTTCCATTACACAAAGGGTTCCTTATAGTGTAAAAAGGTTTTTCAAATTAACTTTTTACACTAAGAAAAAAAAGGTTCTTTTAAGAACTAATTACCTAAAGGTTCTTTGGGGGACCTAAAATTGATCTATGGCACTGCTACGAAAACCAATATTGTGGAACCTTTATTTTTAAGAGTGTGGGTTTAAAATCTCGACATTAATTCCAGAAAAGGTTGAAAACACCTGAAACAGACTAAAACTGAGGTTTGCGCAATACTCAGAATGGTTAAAAAGGCATGGGGCTTCAATGGTGGTGACATTTTGAGGGTTGGGGAACCAAGTACATAGATTATCGAGTTTGGGAATGTGTGGAAAAGACTTTCCTTAGAAACAGTCTTTGGCATCGGCCCATGGATGGAGGTGGGATGAAGAAATGAAGGGAGAGAGGAGAAGAGCAGGTGGCTCTCTACTGGTTCTCAGTAGTCATTCTCATACTGCTCTGGACCTTCACATGCAGGTGTGAGACAGTGATGCCCCGGTAAAAGAGGAGAGAGACACTGCAGTAAGTGTGAGCCCCATATAACCAACATGATGCAACACCTCATCTACCAGACTGTAATCTTTACATAGTGGCATTTCAGAAGGAGAGTCAAGGATTCTCAAGAATGCATTAAAACCTGGTCAATACACATAAAACGTACATTTTCTCATTTGAAATGAAGTATTATCCCAGAGAATGAGGGCTGAATAAGTTACAGAGCAATTTGCAATACTATTAAGCTGTGTTGCAAGATTTTATGCTGACTGAAAGCTTAACGCTATAACCTTTATAGATCTTAAAAGTGTTGATGCAGTATTTCATCTATTGAGTGGAATATTGTACTGTCATTTAACAGCCTTACATGGCAGAAACACCGGAGAACATTAGCGTTATATTTTTCACAATACAATACTGCCATAATTTATGAGGCGTTCAGTAGAAAGCTTTGCTATGATCTGATAAATCAATTATTAAAAGAGTGCTGTCCATTATTGTCCAGCTTTTCTCATATAAAAAAAATGAAATAGTGAAAACTTGTAAGCACACAGCCCACTCTGAAACTTTGATAGCATTTACAGTATACTCCATGAGAAATTTATAAGTAGAATAGCAGTTTGGGAAGGGCTAGTTTAATAAGATGAAAATATCTGAGTTAGACCACAAGCTTGTTTAGAGCAATGGGTTTGCCATTCATTAGCAGTTATAGAAATGCAATCTCAAGCGAGAATGTGCGAAGCACTTCAAAAGGCCGTGGAGAATAACAGTATGGAAGAGCGTGCGGTATGTTCCCTCATCAGTTTGCTGGATGGTGATTATTATCAGTGAAGCCTGCGGCAGTCTTAAACCCACAGCTCAATAAGCACTCGTCAGGGACGCTGTTACTAGACTAACTCCATAATTGACTTTCAGATGTTCAGTATCCATGGTTACCTTGACAACTACATGTAGATTTAATTGGGTTTCATTCACTAACTGGGCATACACACCTATCTGTGCATTGAACGAATGTTTTCATCTATCTATCTATCTGTCTGTTTGTCTGTCTGTATATCACATCCATCCTTCCATCATTTGTATTGTCTCATATCACATTGTAACATATCTTATTATCTTGTGTTATAGTATCGTATTATAGTATCATAACGTATTGTATCATAGCAAACCATTAATCCATCTATTTATACTATCCATCTATCCATCCATCCGTCCATCCATTAATCCATCTATCTATAGTAGAGATGTAACGATTCACTCAACTCACGATGCGACACGATTCACGATAATGATTTCACAATACAATTTTCTCACGATTCATTTTTTAAACAAAATGAGATAAGACAAATGAAAAGGTGTCATTTTAGAATTTCTCAGACAAAATGCTGCACATTTCCTTGTGAAATTGAAATATGTTAAATGACAAAACGAATCTGACATTTTAAAACAAATCCCAAATTCAACAGGCTCGGGGGGTGCATCGTTACATCCCTAATCTAAACTAACCAACCTACCTACCTACCTACTCACTCTTCCTAGTTCTGACAAGTTTCTAGTTAAAATTTCAAGTTACAAATTACAGTTAGATGAATTTCAATACATTTTGACTGTACTTAATATTCTAATTCAAATGGCAATTCTACTTTCTGTTGCTCAATTAACATTCAGGAAGTGGAGCGGAGTGGAGGGTTGATTTGGCTAGAGCTGTTTTTATATCAGTGTGTCAATGCTTGTGGACATATATTATTCTAATTACTGCTCCGTCATTTAGAATAATCGGCATTCATCAACATAAGAACAAATATGTGCATATGTCATAAATCTGGTGGAAATTTCACCAGAGAACCTTTTCTTGACACATACTGCAAGATCACTTCTACACAATCATTAGTGAATGAGATACTCCCTGGATGTACCTGATAGAATAAAGTTTAAATGAAATTGAGAAACCTTGACAGATAGAGGGAGTATGGGAGAGAGAGGAAGAGGAGAGGATTACCTCTAATGTTGTATCTGAGGCAGGAGTTCTGGTCGCAGTAGCCGGGGGGTCCTGCGGGACCAGGGCTACCAGGGATACCTGGACGTCCTGAGGTGCCTTGAATTCCAGGTCTCCCTGGAGGGCCCTGACTTCCTGTCCGACCTTCTCCAGGAGGCCCTGAGTGGGACAAGACATTAGCCATTAATATCTGCCTCGTGAAACCCCGCTGAACTCCCCACTCATAGCCTGCCTGGATTCCTTAACCCACAAAATACAAGTTTTAGCCTTTTCCAGTGCACATCACTGGCTGTTACAGCTATGTTGCTTCAATGAATCTCATTTGTGAAGAGTATTGATCAAAGCACAATTAACAGCGAGCCAACGCTGACATTTGTCAAAGTCTACTGACCAGCCTTTACTGCTAAAATCGATATGAAAACATTGCTCCCTGACCCAAATATTGTTTCAATATCTGCTTGATATTCTAGACAGGATTTAAAAGAACCAAAAGCAGATCAAGATGTGTGCAGAGGTTATTAAAAGTTTGCAAGCTTGTGTTTTCTTTGACAGACGCCATTTAATAATAGAAACTCCTGTAGTCTGTGCAATAAGATGACACTGAGCTCTACTTTTTCCAGTTTGAATTGAAATTAATTTTTTACTGCTGGCTTGAGGACCAAGAAGTCATTGATTTTGACTTAAATGTAACATTTGAACAGTCTCTCACCTGGAGGCCCTGGAGGACCACGAGGACCTTGTGTCCCTATCCCTGGACTGCCCTTCTCTCCCCTTTCTCCTGGGAGACCTGGACAAAGAGAGACGGGGATCTGTTAGAACACACAAACCCATCTGAAGAAACTGTGTCCTTCTCTTTCCATGTGATTTAACTTATTCCACACCTTTACGAGACCATAAGGGAAGAAATAAAAGACCTGGATGGTGTTAATAACACATTCTGACAGGTCTGATGTGGCTGATCTCTCAGTAAGAAAGCAGTAGGAGCTACAGCAGAAGGGAATAACTTATTTAAGTGAATGACAACTTAAATAACAATTGTTTTCTCACACAAATCTATCAGAATCTATCAACAGTCTCTTTCTTTCTTTAAGAAGTCAACATTGGAATTGAAAACAGTCAGTGAGTGGTCAACATGCCAATTGATCCAATTAACCTCTACTGGTAAATGCTGTAACTATACTAAAAAGCACCTTGAAATGAATGGGAATAATAAGATTTCCTTGAATCATGGTTCATTTGTCCAAAGTGTTGTCTCTAAGGATCTGAACACTGAATGTAAGCAGCCTTTTGCCCCACAGGCACTCTGATCTTCATCACCTCTGAACAACACTGACAATCTAAAAGAGAACTGAATAAGATTCCTCATTATAGGCCCCATGTTAACATAAACAGACAAATATCTCCCCTATGTTATCCCTCATTAGCAGCTCTGTTTTGCACTGACTGCATCATGACCATGCCCTGCATGTTCCTGCTTGATATCTGAATGTTTGAGTGATGCAGTAGTGATGGTGAAATATCTAATGCTGAAAGCTCAGGCTGTGTGTCAGAGCTCATCTAATTGAGGACAGGAGACTAAGCAGTGTGGACACTCACTCATGATAAAGACTCTGGCTGAGAGTTGCTCTTGGCAGGAAGGTCATGCAGATCTAATGTAATTTGTGTACAGTCGTATTCAGGGGAAAGAAAGTTCCAGATTTTATAATTTTTTTTGTCACACTGAAAAAAGCCAAATGTATTAGTTTTTTCAAATTATATTTATGGTTTGGTTCAAACCTTGATTTAAAAGGATTGTTTTTTAGAAAGGCCATACATTACTTAATGAATACATTTTCTTTAGACATAAGCCAAAATGTGTAATGCAGGTCAGTATAATAATTTTAGGGGTTTTTACAACTTTATTTTACCATAAACAAAGGCTAAATTAGCTATAAAATGAAAGTATAATTTTCACTTAAGATAAAAAAAAAAATGTTATTCAATGTTTAATATAATCATATTTGCTGTATTGTTCTTAAAAGAATAAACAATAAACTGTTCTGCACATCAACACTGGTATAAAGGGAAAATTTAAACAAAGCTGTTTCTTTTATTTATTTTTCTATGGGAAGTGTTCTTTTAGACAAAAATAAAGACAGAGCTTTGAGACAAACTGGTCATTTCACTTTTTCAGTGCAGTTTGTGGGACTTGTGGATGCTTAAGAGGCTGTCAACCTCAATTCAACTAATACATACTAAAGAGACTAAAGCATTTGCAGTGCTTTGTGGCATCTTTGAAGTAGTTGTTCTTGGCTTACTAACATTAACCATAAAAAAGACTTAGTAGTTTACTTATTGTTTATGATGACGAGTGGTATTGAGGTTAGCCAAGGCTGTCAGCCAAGATGTTAGCAACATTTATCATGGATAGGGTCAGAGAGGTCATGCTAATGTTCAATATTATTATAGCTACAAGATCTGCGAAACCTTAAGCTGCAGGGGCAAAATTTATCTTGAGGGCCATTAACTAATCATCCTCCATACTATTCATACTAGACTATTATTTGCATCTATTTACTAGACTATATTATTATATACAATTATTTGCAAGGGTTTGTAAACTCAGCTACTATTTTTTACAAATTAATCTTCAAAACGTTATCAGTTTTTTCCTTTAACAATTTCATGCCTACAAATTCAAAACAGCAGTACACAGTATCTAGTGATGCAGTAGGTTATTTCACAAGTAAAAATTTTTACCTCTCTCTCCTGGGCGGCCATTTTGCCCACTGGCTCCAGGGAATCCTGGTCTGCCAGCGGGACCCTGCTCTCCCTGTGGCCCCGGAGGTCCTGACCGACCAGGCTCACCCGGTGGACCTGGTACTGTTCGTACTGAAACAGACTGACTGGGAATCTGGTTCAAAATAGAGTTGTAGCGAGACAAGTGACCTGAGGGGGAGGTAGAAAAAAAGAAATTAACTTAGCGGGTCAGCAGGGGTTAGACGACTTCATGTAAGTCATGAATTTGGCAAAAGAGCGTCAAATCAAATACTTGTTCAAATAGTACATGTACGCAAAATATATGTATTCTCAACTCACTCTGAATTAGCTGTTCACAAACTTGTCGCGCCATGGCACGGACAGCGGCCTGAGACTGCATGTCACCCTTCAGAAACAAACAACAGGGGATTAAGGCAGGGATGTACAGTGTCACAGTTTTCTGTCATTGTAAGTTAAATATGATAATCATTTTAACCCATAGGCACTGTGCGAAGGTTATGCACTAGGAGAGCTACAACAAAGAAACTGTACTGTACGTTAAGTCTGAATCGCCAGATCTTACGAACTTGAACAGTATGATGTATTCTGTTTCCTCTATGATGGGCACGTAAAAAGAGCGAGCCGCAAAAACTGAGACAATCAATAAAAAGGCAAGATATTCTGTTTGCTCTCAAAGTCTGGACAGTTTCCTGAGGATGAGCTTTAGGGTGGTGCATTCTGACTCAGAAATACTGGATTTAGAGTGTTTTTGATATTGAAAATAATGCCAAAAGAATGTGTTCTTTCAATAGGTCATTCAGATTAGTGTGGTTGGATTGGTACATTCCATTGAATATGTTAATAAAATTATATTATAAGATATAATATATATATATATATTAAATAAATGTTCTGTGGTGATAAGGGGGAAATGGCAGGTTCTGGAGCATTGATTTGCATTCTGATTTAGCTCAATATGAATGTAGTAATAAGTCATTATATATACATTTCTATGGATATAACGTTAGCTGCTGTACTTATAAAAAACAAACAAACAGGTGGACAAACGTGGTCGGTATCACTCTCAGCATGATCACAGACCATCTAATGCAAACTGGACTCAACATGCAAAGAACTGGAGAAAATCGACAGTTCCATTGTGATTTTGCCTGATTTTTTTTCTGCTACACAAATTATAAGAGTCAGTTTTTCATTAGTCTGCCAAAAACAACAACAACAACAACAAAAAACCGCTGCAACAGTAGTCTCAAACTTTGGATTTTACATTTACAAAGCATAGTACTTTAAACATAACAACTACTTTGTTACATGCCATACTATAGGAAATAATAAATAAATAAGTACATAAATCTATTTTGACCACACTCTGTGTCCATTCTGTGTGCTAGTGAATTGTCCAACCCACTAGCACATGTGTTAACACCTAAAAAGCAAGCATACAGCATGGATTAAGACCACAAGCTGCTGTGACAAAAAATCTCCAACAACACACAAATACGCTTCAGCTGCTTTAAAGGGAGGCTAATAGCCTGTACAATGTGGGTGTTTAATTCACCCAATTTAACACTCTCCACACACCCTTTGTGTGGTGGCCGGTACCACGGCAGTGGAGAAATCAGAACTGAAGAATAAAAACACAAATATATTGTTGTGTGGAAGCTCTGGACCGAGTCTGACTGTGAGGCTTGATAAACAGCTTTAGCTATACCTGTACCACTTTTAACGCTCCCACAGCGACTGAATTAAAAACCCTAAGCATTTAGAGAGAGAGTGTGAAAAAGAAAAGGAGCTATAATTCAGCGCTGCTGCTGCTGTGATTTTTATTAAGAGGCCTGTCAGCAAGCCTCTTAATCCTGCCGCTGATAAACCGCCATTGTGTGCGCCACTCGAGTGCCACATGCCACCACCCCAATATAAACTCTATGACAGTTCAGATGCAGATTGGAGACTCACTCTCTCTCCTCGTTCGCCTTTGGTGCCGGGAGGCCCCTGCAAAAAGAGAAAAAGAGAGTGAAGGCAAACGTTTCTGAATTCACCGATTGGAGAAAAAAAAAGACAAAAAATAAACACAAAGATATTAATGACTGTTTGGAGAGGGGGATTTGAATGTGAGAGCGGACCAAATCGATCGCGGATGAAATGCATGAGCCAAATACATAAAATGGATGCGTCGCTGACCTAATGTGTTGGAAACCAGGCCGGGATTTGTGGCCAGAGCACCATGGCTGCTAAACAATTCTGATATCATAACATCTGGGTATGTTATGCTCTGTGGTGCATAGGGACTCATCCTAAGGATATTGGGTTGTTGTGCCAGACTATGTGAGAATATGATCATAGTTTATTTAAAGTACTGCGTGTAATTTCACACATCGGAGCAGGAGATTATGGCTCTATATCTATATTGTAGTAGAATTAACAATGCCCTGCTCTTCCATAAACTGGGCCACAATTGGTCATAAACTTGTCATCTTACTGACAATCTCTCTTCCAGGGCTTATAAAAAGAAAGACGTACAGGTTTCAAATCTGTGTTGAGAGGTTACACTGCAATCGAGCTCTGCAGATGTTTTTCAACGACTGCACTGAAGCATATGGTTCCACTTTACAAATCTTTGTGAACAAATGCAAGGTAATAGAGCTCCAACTTAAATATAGGTGTCACTCAGCAGGAAACTCAGAGACTGACGTTAATTCAGAATCCCTTGTGTGCTTCTAATATACAAATGAGAAACAAATATTTCAGTTACAGGCTTTGTGCAAACTGAGGTTTCTCAGTTTGTAGCTCTCTCTCTCTGACCGGTCGGACTTATATAAGGTAGATCTTTGCAGGCTGAAACTGAGCTACAGTGAGCTTGAGCACAACAGTCTGTATGATATATAGAATCTCATGTGGAGCTGTCTGCTCCAGCATTCATAAATGATTTCAAGCCATGAATAAAGTGACTCTTCATGATAAATACTGTAAGTGGATTTCTAGCTTCTACACATGTGGACCGTCAAAGCAAAATTCTCCCCGCTGAATAGATCAGGCAAGTTAGTGCAGGTTTGGTGTTACTCTAGCTCGAGGGTGTCCAGTCCTGCTCCTGGACGGCCACTATCCTGCAGAGTTTATCTCAAACACACCTGAACCAGCCAATCTAGAAACTTCCAGGCAAGAGTGTTGGAGCGGGTTTGAGCTAAACTCAGCAGGACATTGGTCCTTCAGGAGCAGGATTGGACACCTCTGGTCTGGCTGGAGGACCATTATAATCATTCTGTTTACCAGCAAAACCTGGTTGGCCAACGAAGATGGTCTATCTGGCAAATATGTTTGACTAATGCAAAGCTCAACAGTAAGGATTTTTTCTGCCGGAACTGCAGCAATGTTGAAAGTTGTAAAGCAGTCCAAAACCCTGGCTTTTGCCCTGGACCAGCGGGCACTCCTTATTGTTGAGCCCTGCCAAGGTAGGCTTGTTGGTTTATCTAGCTGAGAAGCCTAATGGGAACACCTGCACACCACCACCAAAACATGGTGGTGACCAACTACGCTGGTCTTATTAAGTATATTGATCAAGTATATTCTATATCTCTATCTGGCAAATATGTTTGACTAATGCAAACAGTAAGGATTTTTTCTGCCGGAACTGCAGCAATGGTGAAAGTTGTAAAGCAGTCCAAAACCCTGGCTTTTGCCCTGGACCAGCGGGCCATCCTTATTGTTGAGCCCTGCCAAGGTAGGCTTGTTGGTTTATCTAGCTGAGAAGCCTAATGGGAACACCTGCACACCACCACCAAAACATGGTGGTGACCAACTACGCTGGTCTTATTAAGTATATTGATCAAGTATATTCTATATCTGTTGAGAAGGGAACCAAAGGACCAATTTGCTTCATGACTTCAAAATATTTCTTAATTCTGGTCTGGTTCTGGGTGGTCTGGTACTTCAGTGAGAATAATGCTAGAGTCTGACACTAAAGAGAATGCACTTTACCTCTCGCTTAAATAGAGGAGCACAGACTTAAATATCAGTAAGCTGATGTCACGATCAGCAATCTACAGCATTTTGAGTTTAGTTTGTTCAACATAGCTGTAATGCAATACTCACAGGTGGCCCCTGATCACCAATTTGCCCTGGCGATCCACTTGGTCCTGGAGCCCCAGGAGCTCCAGGGCTTCCCTAAAATGAGATATTGAGAGGACAAAAGGTTCATGACCAAGTCTCAGAAAGACTCACAGAGTGATTTTATCATGTTACATACCATTGGTCCTGGAGGACCCTGTCGTCCCTGGGGTCCATCTTTACCCGTTAGGCCCTAAAACGAAAGAATTTTTGATAATCACAATGCTTTGTTTAAAATAAAAAACTGTGGTATATTAATATCTTAATAATCTTCTTTAAGCACAGTGTATAAATCGTAAAATGCAGAAGTCCCAATTCTCATAAGGGAATCTAAGAAACAGTAAGCAGAAATAAGGATAACACATTTTGACTCCATCAATGCTTCCTGTACAGCTTTTCTTCAGCAAAATAAATCATAACCCAAGTTGTTAATGTGAGTTTGTATTGTGTGAGTCTAGTCTGATTCACAAACAAATGACTCAAATGACTGAAACACTCCAACAATTTACCAGTTTGAATCAGCCTCATGAAACTCACAGAATCTATCAGTGACTCAATAAATGAACAGCATGTGTTCAACTCTGGCTGACCTCTGTACACTGGCAGCATGAACCTGTCTGGGAACAGTTCAACAGCCAACGATTCCAATGCAAAAGACCAGATCCACAAACGCTAACAGCAAAGTAACAGAACAGGTGGTCATGTGTTCTAACTCTACTGCCATGTGGTAGAACGAACTCCTCTAGAACATCCTTTCCACTACTGTTTTATTGTTGAATGCTGGGATACACCTAAAGTACCTCAGTAGGGGATAGAGACTCAACAACAACTTACTGTCAGATCTGTCTGCACAAATTATATAATACGGTTCTGGCTGCTTCCTTTTAGCCAGTGATCCAACTCTGTGTTCTTCCACTGAACATGCCTCATTGCCCTAAATATCAGGCTCTTTTGGGAAACAGGTCAGTGGAGGGAAGGGAAATCAATGTAACATTTAAAACGCCTCAAGTGTAACATACAGTACATTTGGAGTACCACACTTCAAGAGCATAAAGCCTCCGAATAGTTCTAGTCCACGCAACATATGCAATCCCATACAAGTGCTTGAGGTCACAAAAGTTTTTCTCTCTCGCTATGTATGTTTTGAGTTGGATAAGAACCTCCCTCAAGAAGGAGTCATGGTGAAACACGCTATAAACACCTCTTTGCTTTGTCCAATCCAGCCCCACTTTGAACCTGGTGTCAATCTAGAAATTTTGCCTCTTTGTGCTCACCATGCTTTGTTCAATTGTTCCAGTGTCTCCACGAAGTCCGTTTGTAGGTGAAAATCACAATAGTATTGAATACTTTCTTTAGCACTTCATTGTGTGCCACTTACAGATAAAACAACCCATTAGTTAACCTTGGAACTGTAATAATATTCTTTTACAAATGGTATGTTTAGAGATTATCATAAGTTCAAAGCCAAACATCTGCTTTCTTTTTTAAACTGTCATAGTGAGTTACTGTGTATGAAACCACAGCAGATTTATCCCTCAACCTGCTTTAAATCAGCTCAGCAAGGAGCAGTATGGTCTGAACACCAGCATTTGTGCTCCTTGTTTTTCTTTTCTGACGCAAACTGACAGATTTATTCAAACATTTCCACTCTCCACCTGCTCTTTACTAAACAGAGATGGTGAACTTGCACTCTCTCACTAAGACATTAACATTTAATTACACCACACAGCTTTGGGAATGGTAATTGAATAACCACCGTGCATATTTTTCATTACAGTTCACAGAATAAGTGTAGTGTGCCTTTTTTTCCCCAGTCTCCAGTGGCATTTAATCTGTATAGGCTACATGTACATACAGTATATGTGATTCCTCTCTTGTAGGAATGACAATATTAAACACCTCTGTATCTGTGACAACACATGCACCAAAAAAACCTAGACTAGGAGGCAATTATATTTCATGTGTTACATGTGAGCTGATACCAACATCATTTTAAGGATCTCTGAATCACGTGTGTGATTCTGAAATGTCAAGTAAGGCTTTGTTCACAAGTTGCTTAATTTGGTTTGGAGACGAGGAACAAAATCAATAACAAAAACAAACACGTTGAGCACTTATTATGACAGTCTAGCAGGATAGATCTGATTAGTTCAGGTTGTGGTGTTATTGACTAGCAGTCCTGTAAACTGAATCTGTGAGTCAGGGCCTCCTTCAGCGTAATCAGATCTGTTCAGACACAGAAGAACACATAAGCTTCATTTGATGAGCCGCCCATGTGGAATCGTTCTTACACGGCATGACTGAAATTGCGTTTACTTAATATCACTCGGGCCGTCAAATTTAACTCATGCATTAAAGCATTAATCATGAATGAATTATTCAAAAAACAGTTCTCTACAAATGAATGCATTAACGCAAAATTAACGCAAATTAACAATTTATGCCCCCTGACCCATATGTAAATTCCGTTGTAAGTAAGTTTCCTTACAGTGCAAGTTTGAAGTACCACTTAAATTCAGTGTGTACTTTTGCAAATTCTACAGGGGTTTGTCCCACCTCCCTTGGCAAGCAAAACAGGGAGGCAGCACAGAATGAGTGAGGAGCCGTTCATGCAGGATGGAGAGCCAAAAATGGAAAAATACACAAGGGTCTCCATATGCATTTTTAACAGATGCTAAAAACAGTGAGATGTGACTGAATGTCTGTATGAATGTTTATTAAAAAATAAAATAAAATAAAATAATAAAATCACAAACAATTATCTTAATTGACTGAATGCTTTAAAATGTTAACTACAAAAAAAATATGACTATCAACTAATAAATAAAATAAAAAATTACACTGAAAAAAACCCAGCATAATTTAAATGGTAAAAGATTTTCAAACTCTTACTGTAAAAACGTGTTAATTTGTTACTGATGAGTAACAGTTTTTGGAAGCAAAAAAGAACAAGTCATCTTATAATTTAGAGGGAAAGATTGACATTCCCAGAATTCTCTGTGACAACTCATATCTGATGTTTTTTTATTGAAACAACTGTTTTTTTTCCCACTTAGATTTTTCTTATCAGTTATGTGCATAACTACGTAGGGTTTTAGGTTTCATCTTATGTTGTGAAATTAATGTTTATTGCATTTTTAGTGTTAGCGTTTAGTGTTAATTTTATTATTGATGGTGGTGATGGTGTTTTGCATTTGTATTTGTGCATAAAACAATTTTTGTTCTATAAAACAATTTTAAAAACTGATTAACAACCCTGAATATTACATGAAGTCATTTGTAATGGTAACTTCCTCAGCTTATCTGATTTATTCACATCATAACAAAATAACAATATAGTTTGAATTGAGTTACGAAAAATGCTTACTCTCTGTCCTGGAGGTCCATCTCGGCCTGGTCCTCCACTGGCACCTGGTACACCCTGAAAGTAAATAAACAAGACAACTTGTTTATTTCAATGATAGACATAGCTGTTCACAAAATGTGTGGCCTTTGCTGAGTAATAAATGTTTGGCTCTTTTGTTTCACATTGTCATCTGCATACACAGCTCAGACACAGAAGAACACATAAGCTTCATTTGATGAGCCGCCCATGTGGAATCGTTCTTACACGGCATGACTGAGATTGCGTTTACTTAATATCACTCGGGCCGTCAAATTTAACTCATGCATTAAAGCATTAATCATGAATTAATTATTCAAAAAACAGTTCTCTACAAATGAATGCATTAACGCAAAATTAACGCAAATTAACAATTTATGCCCCCTGACCCATATGTAAATTCCATTGTAAGTAAGTTTCCTTACAGTGCAAGTTTGAAGTACCACTTAAATTCAATGTGTACTTTAGCAAATTCTACAGGGGTTTGTCCCACCTCCCTTGGCAAGCAAAACAGGGAGGCAGCACAGAATGAGTGAGGAGCCGTTCATGCAGGATGGAGAGCCAAAAATGGAAAAATACACAAGGGTCTCCATATGCATTTTTAACAGATGCTAAAAACAGTGAGATGTGACTGAATGTCTGTATGAATGTTTATTAAAAAATAAAATAAAATAAAATAATAAAATCACAAACAATTATCTTAATTGACTGAATGCTTTAAAATGTTAACTACAAAAAAAATATGACTATCAACTAATAAATAAAATAAAAAATTACACTGAAAAAAACCCAGCATAATTTAAATGGTAAAAGATTTTCAAACTCTTACTGTAAAAACGTGTTAATTTGTTACTGATGAGTAACAGTTTTTGGAAGCAAAAAAGAACAAGTCATCTTATAATTTAGTGGGAAAAATTGACATTCCCAGAATTCTCTGTGACAACTCATATCTGATGTTTTTTTATTGAAACAACTGTTTTTTTTCCCACTTAGATTTTTCTTATCAGTTATGTGCATAACTACGTAGGGTTTTAGGTTTCATCTTATGTTGTGAAATTAATGTTTATTGCATTTTTAGTGTTAATTTTATTATTGATGTGGTGATGGTGTTTTGCATTTGTATTTGTGCATAAAACAATTTTTGTTCTATAAAACAATTTTAAAAACTGATTAACAACCCTGAATATTACATGAAGTCATTTGTAATGGTAACTTCCTCAGCTTATCTGATTTATTCACATCATAACAAAATAACAATATAGTTTGAATTGAGTTACGAAAAATGCTTACTCTCTGTCCTGGAAATTAATGTTTATTGCATTTTTAGTGTTAGCGTTTAGTGTTAATTTTATTATTGATGGTGGTGATGGTGTTTTGCATTTGTATTTGTGCATAAAACAATTTTTGTTCTATAAAACAATTTTAAAAACTGATTAACAACCCTGAATATTACATGAAGTCATTTGTAATGGTAACTTCCTCAGCTTATCTGATTTATTCACATCATAACAAAATAACAATATAGTTTGAATTGAGTTACGAAAAATGCTTACTCTCTGTCCTGGAGGTCCATCTCGGCCTGGTCCTCCACTGGCACCTGGTACACCCTGAAAGTAAATAAACAAGACAACTTGTTTATTTCAATGATAGACATAGCTGTTCACAAAATGTGTGGCCTTTGCTGAGTAATAAATGTTTGGCTCTTTTGTTTCACATTGTCATCTGCATACACAGAACGTCTTCAATTCTTACCGGCTACGATATTGACATTATCTAAGTGTCAATCTCAAGGCTGAGGAGGTAATCGAAAGTGAGGACAGTTTGTGTGGTCTGAGTCATTGTGATTTGAAGAGCTGCTCTGCTATGATATCTTACATAAAGAACATAAACTGTAGGCTAGTCCTTCAAGATTTGTGCAGGCAACCGAACAACTGTGGGCTCCCTTGTAGAACAGTGTTTTTGTCCCCGGAATGAAAATTAATTCCAGTTTATTGACTTAATTGTATGGAACCCATTGACTTTCATTGTATGGGTGAAAAAAAAATATTTTGTGTTCCACAAAAATAACAATGTCACACAGGTTTGGAATGACATAATGGTGAGTAGAATTGCATTTTGGGTGAGCCATCCTTTAATTCCCAAGAAACACCAGGACTAATGTCTACCACTGATGTCACTGCCTCCACCTCAGCGATTAGCATTTCTAATTTGCATAAAGTTGAGCATTTCTCCGCTTTTTATGGCTGTCACCACTTGCATTGCTCTTTTAACAATCCCACAATCCCCTGCACAAACCTGCCGCTCAGCTTCTATAGAGCATTAACTGAAAATGCCTGCTCATCTCCAGGTGGACACATACATATGTTAATTTTGATGAAATCGCCTTCCTCTTCATAATGGTACAATACTTCATAGCTTCAGCTACAGTTTTACAAATCAAAAAGTTCAATTCAACAATTCAACATCACCCCATATATCAGCACCACACACACACTAAAATGGGCTTCGTTTCATCGCAAGTGGACTCGTAATTCTGAAACTGTGTGTGAGGGCACCCTTAACAGTATTATATACAGGGCTCTCAGCGCCAGCGGCAGAGACAGACCGAGGAAGAGATGTGGCACATGATATGGAGGACTGGCAACCAGCAGCCAATGAATATAATTCACAGGCTGACAGGATAGATTAGCCCTGAGAGAGAACTACGGGTGTCTCTGCTGCAGTATGGCAAAGACCACTTCCTCCTTACTGCCAACATAACTCTGAAAGAACTCAATACCTGCTGCTAATGGAAGCGAGTGTGCGGATGGCCCCCTGCTTAAAGGAGGATATCCATCTCAAGCCAAGATGTCTATACTGGAAGACTGAGGCACGTATGTGTGTGTGTTTGTACTATGACCACTGGAAAAGCCAGGATGTTCTTTTCGTCACCCTGGAGAACTCTAGGGGATTTTTCCTGAGTGGTTGTCATTGGCTTCACATCAAACAGTTATTCCTCAACAAATGGAACTGTCACTGTGAATGTTTTAGAAGCCTTTTGGTGACACTTTCAGCAGAAATCTAAAAAGATTCACAGAAAAGGCAGAACTTTAACAAGCTTGTGAAAGAGGCTTTACAAGCATAAAAGTCTAAGACATCTGCTTGAGGCAAAACTATGAATTCCATCCTGCCTGCTTAGAAGTGTCTTTTGAGTTTAGGCAATTAGATTCTCCCTCAAATAAGATCTTCAAATGACAATTTTCATGTCAAAATGCTTTATTATCATTAGGCAGTGGCGTGTGGTGGACTGAAATGAGTAGGAAGAGTTGCTTGTTTTCAAATGCTCCTTTCAAATGTTTCCGGGTTGGTAAGATTTTTTTTTTTTTTTGTCATGCTTTTGAAAGAAGTCTCTCGTGTTCACCAAGACTCCAGTTTTTTGATCAATAATACAGAAAAAAACTATAACACTAGAACAATATGTTCAATTTAGAAATCATTCTAATATGCTGAAATGGTGCTCAAGAAACACTTCTTATTATAGTGTTGAAATCAGTTGTTCAACTTAATATTTTTGTTTTCTTTTTTAAGATTCTTTGATGAATAGAATGTTTAGCAAAAGAACAGCATTTATTTGAAATATAAATCTTTTGTAACATTCCACTCTCGCCTAGCCTCATTTGATCTGACACAACTTACCACTACAGGTACTCACAAATCAGGCAACCGACTCGACCTCATTTACACATGCAACTGTATCACAGAAAACATTTTAGTGAAACCTCTGCACATTTCTGATAATTTCTTCATTACTTTTGATGCAGAGAGAAAATGGAGCAAATAAAAAGATCCAGTTGACCTGAGTATGTATCAGTCTCTGCTTTCATCTTTTTCTGTCAAGGTCCACACTGCCAGAACTTCATATTTTCACAAGATCAACAACCACACGCAAACTTCAAATAATTCAAACATCAAAACGATCTCCTCTGCCCCCCTCCACCACCTCTTTAACAGCTGATCGTTTTGCCAATTTCTTCAAACACAAAACTACAACCATCAGCAGTCAGTTTTCAGCTCCACATACACAGGAACTCAGACCAACAACAACTACAGCCAGCAGTCTCCTCTCACAGAGGCAGCAGTTTCTGAACTTCTCCTCTCCATCCTACAGCATGCCCCCTAGATCCCATTTCCTCACACCTTCTACAAGCTATTTATCCTACACTTCTACCAGCACTCACACATTTCATCAACACATCTCTCCACACAGGCATTTTCCCCACCACATTCAAGCAGGCTCAGGTAACCCCGCTGATTAAAAACCTACACTAAACATTTTACTTGTAGAAAGTTACAGACCTGTCTCTCTCCTCCCATTCATAGCGAAAACACATAAACAGGTTGTTTTCAACCAGGTATAATCTTTCCTTCCACAGAATAACTAGCTGAACAAGAACCAATCAGGTTTCAAAAGTGGTCATTCAACTGAGCCTGCATTACTGTTGGTCACTGAAGCTCTGCAGATTGCGAAAGTTCTCATTCTGCTGGATATATCTGCTGCTTTTGACACCGTCAATCATCCGATCCTTCTGCCCACCCTCTCATCACTGGACATCACAGAAATTCCACTTCTCTGGTTTGAATACTATACCTCACAGGTAGGTCTTTCAGGGTTGCCTGGAGGGGGGCTCCTCAGGGTCGTTCCTCAAGGATCAGTTCTTGGACCTCTCCTCTTCTTCATTTAAACAACAGCACTGGGACCGATCATACAGGCACATGGATTCTCCTACCATTGCTATGCTGATGACACACAGCTTTATTTTTCATTTCAACCAAATGATCCAACAGTAGCTACACAGATCTCACACTGCCTGGAGGACATCTTGTCATGGGTGAGAGAACATCACCTCCAGCTCAACTTAGCAAAGACAGAGCTTCTCGTCTTCCCAGCCACTCCAACTGTACAGTATAATTTCACCATCCAGCTATGTTCACCAAAAATGATACCATCAAGTTCAGTCAGAAATCTTGGGGTAAACTTTGATGACTAGCCAAAGTTAAGACACTAATGCCTGCATATAGAATAGCCATGGGCTCCGCACCCTCTTACTTCCACTTGCTCTTACAAGTCTACATCCCCTCCAGAAGCGGGAGGTCGGTAAGTGAGTGATGCCTCGTGGTAACATTGCAGAACAAAATCATTTTGCAGAACATTTTCATTCACTGTTCCTTGCTGGTGGAATCATCTTCCCACCCCCATCCATGTTTGGCCATTTGAAAGCGTGCAATCCCTAACGCTCATGAAAGCATGTGAAATTGCTTTCAAATGTGCTCGCATTTCTTTTTTTACTTT